TTGTTGTCGGGGGTTTCAGTCTGGTTGGGAGGATGCCATCTTACCCTGCCGATTTGTCTATATTTCGGCGCCTCAGTTGGTCCTCGATCACCTGGGGGAGTATTCCGCAATCTGGCCTATCTGGGATGGTCCTCGGTGCTTATTTTCCTCCGGGTGCCCCGACATTCCTAACGTCGACTGCTTCGAAGAAGCGTCGAAAGAGTTCCGCTTTCTCCGAGATGGCTATCAGTGGGTGGTTGCTGTCGTCCGTAAGAGCTCTTATCGCCCGTGCAGCCTTTACTTTGGCTGCCTGTGAAAAATTGTTTGCGCAAACTCAAAAGCCCCATTTAGGCATTAGCGGTCGATGTAGAGTCAGCAGGCCTTGATTGTCAGTTTGCTGCACTTTCGGTGATACTAGGTATTGCAAAAGTTGCCGCAGACACCCCCGCTTACACTATCTGTTCTCCCTCAGGGAAATACGCTGGCCTCAATTTTAGGGAAGGCGTTACGGCTGGAGAGCATCTTTTGCTCACAGTTCTCGTGGTCATCGGGATACAACCTGCTGCGTCCGGGTGGTAGGTTCTGATCAATACAATAGATTTAAATAGCCTTAGGGTAACGTTAATAATTTGGGAATTATATGAAAGCAAATGAGAAAGATGTATGATGGCAGAAAAGAGAGAGGAAAAACATTACTTTCTGCCTTTCAGAAAATACCTATTGACTCGCAGTGTTGGAAGCCACAAGAACAGCCAACAACACATCAATCTGGACGCAAGATTGGCCCGGGCCACACATCGTCCAGTGCAAACTGAACTGAACTGAACTGAACTGAATAGGAACATAAACTACAAGCCAAAGATAACGCGGACGCTAGACTCACCGAGTTTCCTCACAAAGGCAACAACTAAAGCCTAGGCTCACCTTTGTAGCACCCTGACCTGACAGTGAAGGCGAATCACAGTCGCTTTCGGGTAGATCTGGACCCTGCGTGGGATGGTTTGTGGGCTTTGAAGAAGATTTCCTCGAGTTCCAACACACGCTCCGAAAATTGATACCGCACACAAGATTCAGGTCAACGTGGTTAACAGTTCAGCATAAATTACTCCATCAGACAATAAATGGAACTGAAAATTGACAAAAATCTTTTTTGGTGGATTCAGCCCTGAAAAAATTCTCAGTGAATGATTAAGCTAAAATGGCATCATCCTTGAAAGGCCACTTCAAGGTCGTTTGGTGTGCGTCCAATACTTGGGAAATGTGCACTGGATCGCACCTGTTGTGACTTTTCGGAAAATGCCCGTTAAAAAAGTTTTCCGCCGTTACGTTAGTAATTTTATAAGTTTCGCTAATTCTCACATCCGTAACTCTCACCGGGATCGTTCTGATGAATTCTATGGTAAGCAATTTTAGCATGATTTTTGCTGCTACGCCTGGTTGCCTAATTAGAATGGTATCACGTTGGTTGTTTTATTTATGTGTTCTGAATCACAATTTTCATTGAATCTTCATGGATCAATAATTTAAGCTCGACTATTGGTCGGAATGCATGTTTTCTATAGGGGATTTTGGTCTAGCGGATGAAAAATTGCTGATTTCTATGATATACTGTCAGGTGAAACCTGCATTTCAAGGGAAAACTCAAAACAGAGGAAATATTAATTCGGTGAAGGAGGATAGCTTGCTCAGGATTCAACTTCGTTTATGACTGGTGACATCTACAATTAAACCGTGATATTTGCTTGCAATTAGGGGCCAGGTTTTCAGTACGGTAAGATAACTTGGGGGGTTGCTAGAAGTGTTCATTTTATGACAAAGCATGTTACATTCTACCCTTCTATGTTATGTTTTTTATATTTTCGCACAAGTCTGAATCCGACTGTGCCAAACAAATCATGATATAATAATCTTCACAAAAAGGAAAAGGAAAAGAAAAGCGTTCCATGAGTTGCCTGTGGGCAGAATACTATCAGGTTTCCCAAGCCAAGGCAGGGGAATTTGCTTGAGGAATCCACAATCGGAGCTTTTGGCTAGCTGGTGTCCAGTTCATCGGATCATACGCCTTCCGGACGGGCTCAATCGTCAAAGGTGCCACTACACCTCGATGCCCAATTGAGCTGGTGACCACTGCCACAACCAAGAAGTTGTGTGTGGTTCTTACCCGTCCTCATAGTTGGTTCGGAATCAGGGATTTTAGCCAACTCCCCTAGGTGAACTGTCAGTGGTCCACCAACCCCGTTATAGCCCCAGATGTTGGCTTTCCGTCCTCACACTTTGGGGCGAAAACACCGCCACGAGAAGGCGGTGAGTAGGGCTTCCTCAGCAGAAGCTATTCGAGACGCTTGGTCATATGGGATCATTTCGTCAGTTGCAAGAAGTGACCAACCGCAACCCTAGACACCCATCACCGACCATACTGAGGCTTTTGGAGGCCTTCTATTCTATGAAGCGCAATGTATGGCGCTTGGACGGTTTAAAAGAGCACTTGTGTGAGACGGATGGTGGTAGAAATCCAGTATGATGGTCTCCTATTAGCACGCGGTATTTTATTCAGGGGTGGCTATTTTCGAAGACATTTTCCATCATTTGGGAGCTGAATGAGATAGATATTTTCGGGTTCTATTCCATTCATTGTGCACGGCACATATTTCTTGTAGGGCGAGTCCGTAGTCCCAAACATTTCATATATTATATTTCAGCTTTCGAGAGAGCACGTTTTGCTGTTGGTGTTTCTAATTTTTGTTTCAAGAAGTAATCAGTTGCAAACTTGATAGTTTGGGCTTGGAACAAGGTCTTGAAGGTTTGAGGGCAGGGAACACGAAGATGAAAGTAAATGTATTCTAAAAACTGTGAAATAGTACCCATGGAGCAACGGTCATAGAAATTCCTACTTCCGGAAATCGTACATTAAAGCTTTCCTTGTCTGTATGAATCTGCAATCATAAATTCGTACCCCCTGTAAGTTGTACATCATGAGTTAACCTCACTCTAATCACAACCAGATACTGCCGTGATCTTTCTCTTAGACGTTACTCGTTACTCGTTGTATGTGGTTAAATCTACTTCTGTGTTGAATTGCGTGAACGAAAATTACACATGTAGACCCTAAATTATACGTCGTCATCCTCTAGAAGGAAATAACACCTAACAGAACATTTAATACTCCAAATTGGCTGGGAAATTCAGCAGAAACTAGCCACCGATTTGTCAGAATT